TCAATTTGGTCAATCTGTTGTAGCTTTTTACATTTGGTTTTCAGTTTGGCTTTAAAGATTTTCCTTTACGATGTTTTTATTCTTCTTTGCTGTCCTCTGTGCATCACAGATATGGACTCTGCACCTGCATGGAGCCTGTTTTGAGAATATTATATACGAAGATTTGCATAGTAGGAGCCCCTCCCCAGTGTGAGGGAGGGTTTCCAGCCCAATCTTAGGTTCTTCTTTGATTGCCATTGTGGGCACATCAGAAAGTTCTTTCTCTGTTTTTCCATAGTTATTTTCTGTCTCTTTTACCAAGATCTCCTCCCTCTCTCCATTTTTTTCTCAATTCCTTTCTGATATATAATTTTTCTTTCTATATATTAAAAAAAATCACTCCACCTGTATCTCTTTTGATCCTTGCCACAACCCTCCCTCTCCTTCCTCATGCATCTCCTCACCCTACAATGGTGCTCAATGCCCTATTCAGAAAATGTGTTTGCTGCTGCAGAAAGATGCTGCTAATGGGCAACCATTCACTGCGCCTCGGCGAGAGCCACATGGGGGAGGCCTGCCAGTACTGCTTGGAAGCAAAGGGCCAACTGCCTTAGAGTTGAACTTTGGAGCAGGGCCCTCCATGGAGTCAACTCCCCATGCCCACCAAGTGCCCCTCCACTTTGGAAGCCCTGCCTTCTCTGCCTGATCCCACTGCCTCAACACTAGCCACAGCCCCCATCCGAGATATTCTGCCAACCCTGGGCTGATTCATAAAGATTGCCAAGACAAACAAACTTGCTGAGAAAGCCAGAGTGGCTAAGACATTAGATTCAGCCAGGACTGAGGGCTGCAAGAAACATGCAAAGTCTCAGCACTCCAACACTTTAAGCCGATCTCCATTGGTATAGAAGACCCTGCAACCCGACTCCTTGGTAATGTTGCACAAGGATGCCCTGACTACCTCCCTCTCTGAGGGTGAGATCCAAGACCCCTAATGCCCACCCAGGTGCACACAGTGCTCCCATCTCTCCTCCTGCAGGAATTCCTGCATGCTGAACCCAGCCACCACAAACCACAAGCAAATCTTAGCTATCAAATCTTCCAAAAACTGGTTCCACACAGATGCTGTTCCCATATGTTTGACTGTGCAGATGACCACTTGGGAAATGACAGTTACAGGTAAGCAACCTTATTTTGTATTTATATTTTATTTATACTTTTTATTGTCTTTTATTTGCTGTTGTAAACCACCCCGAGAACTTGGTCAGCATAGAAATAGCAACAACAATAATACACAGGCTTGAAACAGGGAAAGTGAAGAGAAGATTACAATAAAACAATCATATATCTTAAATATATATTTACATCTACCAGTCCATTCCTGTAATTCAATTTTCAGTGTATGCAAAACCTTGCAAAGGTTTCTGACTTATACAAGCTATATAATATATGAATTGGAAGGCAATCCACATCTTCTGTTCTTTTAATTCTAATGCATTCCATCTCCACAAAACAACCCATATACAAACAGCATCACCACTGCATAATCAGGTTTTTAACTTTATTATTTCTTCTTTCAAGGTGCCCTGGATGATTTACGTTGTCTCTCTTTTATCCTCACAATAACCTTGTGAGATGGATAAGCTGAGAGTTTTGCAGTGAGCTTCATGGCTGAGCGGGGACTACTGAGTGGGGACATGATTTTCATCTCATTAGACTAGCCTTTTCCAACCTGATGTCCCTCTGATGCTTTGGATTACAGATCCCAGGATCCTTGACTATTGGCCATGCTGGATAGGATTAAGAGAGTGGAAGTCAAAAGCATTTGGAAGGCATCAGGCTGGAGAAGGATGCCCTAGAGCAGTATGGTGAACCTTTTAGAGACCGAGTGCCCAAACTGCAACCCAAAACCCACTTATTTATCGCAAAGTGCCATCATTGCAATAAAAGCTGAAAACTCAGGTTTTAGTTTAGAAAAAACAACTCACAGCCAGTCCAAGCAAATATATGTATATCCTTGGCAGCGCACTGACTGGCCATGCAAAAGCTCGGACAAGTTGCTGCTAATGAGTCGTGGCTCGTGACATCATCGCCTGGTGCTGCTACTCCTTTCTGAGCATGCGCATGGCCCTGTGTGTGCAGATATCCAATGCTCAGCTGCCGGGGTGACGCTGGGGCGACTTGGCTCACGTGCTAACAGAGACGGCTCCGTGTGCCCACTGCAGCACGCATACCATAGGTTTGCCACCACTGCCCTAGAAACATGCCGTGACCATTGTTCATCTGTACCTTTAAATGTTTTCAGACCCATGTGAGATTCATAGACTGTTATGAGTAAAGATACAGAAGAGGACACTAAGGCACATCATGCTGTCTTCATCAGTTTCCCAGTTGTTTTCCTTTTTGTTTGGGAACCATCTGTTTTAATATGCTTGACATGTGATGGACAGGTGGTGAAATCACAACTGGAAACTGTTCCAGGCAAGGTTTTCCACTTGTTTGGGATTGTTGCACAGCATTTGAACAACAAGACCCTGTGCTAGTGCCATATCCCATTCCACAGGGTGATTCCATTAGTTCTAACTTAATCTGCTCTCAGTTTGGATAATCAGTTAGCTTCCCTTGACATGTCATGCGCTTCCTAGAATTCAAACAGTTGAAATCAGTACAGTTTTCTGGTCTTGCAGCTTAGACTGAATAATTGTGTATTCAAGGTCTTTATTTTGTTCCTGGAGTGCTATTAGCAGTTTTATTCACACTTTCTATAGCCGGCTTGATTTAGTAAGCTGTGACATTTGTGGGCAGCTCATATATTTCTTGCTACCCATAGAATAACAGATTTAAAATTACTAAAGGTACAGTCCTATGTATATTTAGACAAACAAATTCTACAGCTCCCAGAATTCCGTAGCCAGAATGGGGTATGGCTGGGGAATACTGGAAGAGGGCATGTCTCTATCTAAACATGGGTAGGTTTGTACCTCTAAGTGTAACAGAAAGACAGCTCTGATAAACTTTTGTTAAGTTTTGTTTTCATTTTAGTACAGCCTATCCTTCAAGGACTTTGCCCTGGATAATTTGCAATATAGATTTTATAGCTCTGTATCTTTGGGGAACTTTTAAAAAAAATCAGAATCAACAGATTGTATAAACAGGGTATGAACCAAGATTACTCTTAGCTTATGACTGGCTTGTTGGGAGAGCAAGAAACTAGAGATTCCAAGTTTGACATTATGCTAAACAAAACACAAATGAAGAGTCTTTGGCTTGTCTAATTGGTTCTGCTGGCAGGAGGAACCATTAAAGCAATTGATCATAAAAGTATGCTTGTATTCACAGTTCTTTAGAATTCTGGCTTACTGTCGTGGCCAAATGTGGACATAGTATTTTGTGAAGGGGTCAGCAGTAGTTCCATGATTATTTTATTTTGTAACAGGGTTAGTATAATGCATCTGCTGAACCAGAGCTTGATTGAAAAAATGAGTGCAGGGAATATAAAAAGGGCTTCTTAACCCATTTTTTCTATTGAAAGTCCAACCACTCCAGCTGTTTTTCCTTCCACCATAGAAAGATATAGTTACAGGTGCTTCTTTTTTCCCTTGATTGTCATTTGCTTTAGAAAACACATTTCAGTGTGTGTGTCTGAGAGCAACTGGATAAACTCCTCACTTTAGAGCAAGAAAAACTAAACTGGTCATTTTCATAACTACATTAAGGTAAATGGTAGGCCCACTGTGAAATGTACAGTTAATTGTCAAAAACTGTTTTTCCTCTGAGAAACAGATTAATAATATACTTCAGCATCTCCTTCATATCACTTGGCCTTCTGAAACTCTTAACAATAGTGAAGCTCCTCCTTGATGCAGTGAAACCAGAAGCAAGATGTTGCATAGAAAGGAGTAGCTTTGATGATATAAGTGACCCTAAAAGTAGAGAGTTGTGTGGTATAGTAGTTAGAATGGACTAGAACTCTGGAAATCCAGGTTCTAGTGTACATGCAGTCCTGAAGCTCACTTGGATGACATTGAGTCAGGCATTGAGTCAAGTAACCTACCTCACAGGGTTGTTGTGAGGATAAAATAGAAAGGAGACACATGTAACCCACACTGGGTTCTTTGAAAGATAGAAAAGTATAGAATATAAATGTAATGAGGGAGAGAGGGAGAGAGAGAGAGAACAAGAACAGTGCCTTTAAATACACAGGAATTCAGTCCCTGAACAGTTAAAAAAAACTCTTTAAATGGTCTGACATAGGGTAGACTCACAGGTTTCCACTAGTGATTTGTAGGCTGAGAAAATGTGACTCCTCCTTCAATAGAAAAGTTACCTTAAGGCAAAGTATCTGGCCTTTGTGAAAAATAGGGGGTTGCAAGCACAAAACTGTGTTGAAGGTTGCTGGGGGTGAAGATTGGTAAGATAGCAGCAGCGATTGGCAAGAGTTACTGCTTTTCAGATGGAAGCTTCATACTGTGATTAACCCTGTCAAGAAATCTTCGGTCTTGCTGGAGAATATAAATCAATACAGCCAGTACAGCATTTCATTTGACTTCCTCAAAACATTCAAACAGTTTTTGAAATCAAGAAAGACTAAGTTGGACTCCCTGAAAAAGATTTCATGGCAGTTACTTGGAAAGTGCAATAGGTAATCCTTTTGGATACATGAACGTGGAGGCTGGATACAAATGAATGTATTTCAATTATATATAACATGTGTGCGCTCATGTGCCTGTAGACATGCCTGTTTGCAAGAGCTGAAGCAGCTCCATAGGGAAGCCTTGCAGGAGCTGCATAGATGGTTAGTGGAAATGAAATCTCATTTTAGCTTGTACCATGTGACTTCCTATTTCTGTAAGGTACTTCCAAGGACTTCCTCTGCTAAATCAGCTGAAGTCTCTAGAGCTTTAAGTCAGAAACATAGCTCTGCCTGCCCTGCCACCAAGCAGGAGGTTTGCTGGGATTTGTTTTCACGGGAATCTTTCTTCTTTCCTTCCCCCTCCCCTCCCATCCTGTGCCATTTCCAGCGTGTAAAGATCTAGTGGCTCCTACCCGTGATCGAAAGCTGAATACATTTGTGCAGATTACAGTTGTACATCCAGGGGAGCAAAATTCAACAAGATATGCAAGTACGGAAATTGTGGAGGTGAGCTGTTTTCTTTGTTCCATTCCCATTAGTCATCAAATGCTAAGTTTTCTTTCCTGTTGTTGTTGTTGTTTTTTAAGCAAAGCAAAGCAAAGCAAAAAAAAAAAAATGTTGGAATACATGCAGTGCAAACAGTCACAGTGATGCCTGTGAAAATTTTGCTTGAACTTTTCATATGTAAACTGAAAAATGCTCCAGGGAAGTACTGGTTTGTATGGAATTCAAAATAAAATATGTAGAAAATATGGGGTTTGGTGAAGAAAACATTAGTATTCAGTAATCTACAGCATCTGAAACACAGCACTTCTTACTTCATAAAAAATGCTACACATTATACTGTAAATTTTACAGGATTAACTGTAAAAGTGTGTGATGTACCTTTGAATAGTGCTAAAGTGTTCCTCAGAATGTTATTTTTGGGAACAAAAAGAGTTGATTTTCCATTACCAATCTGTAAAGAAGTTTGGCTGTATGTTTCTTAGGCAAAAAAATAGGATCCCCATGAAAATGCATCCAAATTAAGTTCTGATCAATAAAGTACAATGTCTGATGCATCCAAGGAGTGTTTCTGGAGTGATATTCTGGCTGCTAATGCATGATTTAAACTACTAGGACTCCTGAAAGTATGAATCAGACAGCTTGTTACACTGCAGGAAGGAGCCATACTTACTGCTGACATGTTGTACTGTGTTTGTTGGAGCAAACTATTAGGCACAAGTTGAATCCTTCCCATCATAGGGATGCTGAGGTTCTCTCTCTCATTCTTTTCCTTTAATTTGCCTTTTCCTTTGTATGCCAGCGATGGCCCTCAAAGAAGTTGATAAACCTAATAAAATGATAGAACTAGTATTAGGCTTAAAATTTGATTATAAGATACAGCAAAGGCCAGGATCCAAATGAGCCCATTGTATTTATTTATTTATTTATTTATTTATTTATTAAAACATTTCTATGCCGCCCCATTCGCCGAAGCTTCGGGGCGGCTCACAACATAAAATTAAAATATAATACATACAACAAATTAACAATATAAAATAAGTCGCCCTGGCCAGATAAAATAAGCAAATAATATTAACAATTAAAATGACGTTTAAATCAAAAGGTCTTCGCCTGGCGCCAAAAAACAAATAACGACGGTGCCAGGCGGACCTCTCTGGGGAGCGCATTCCATAGATTGGGCGCCACTGCAGAGAAAGCCCTCCTCCGAGTACCTACCCTCCTAATTTCTTTCATGGAGGGTTCCCGGAGAAGGGCCTCTCCTGCAGATCTCAAGGGGCGGGCGGGCGTATATGGATGTAAGTGCTCCTTCAGGTAACCAGGACCCAAGCCGTTTAGGGCTTTATAGGTCATCACCAACACCTTGAATTGGGCCTGGACTTCAATGGGAAGCCAGTGAAGCTGACGGAGGACTGGAGTCATGTGAATATAACGCCCAGTCCCCGTCAGCAGCCTGGCAGCTCTATTTTGAACCAATTGAACTATCCGGACCATCTTCAAGGGTAGCCCCACGTAGAGCGCGTTACAGAAGACAAGGCGGGAAGTCACCAGCGCGTGTGTCACATTGTAGGCATGCTGGATAGGGTGTCACACTTTCTTTCTTTGAAGAGTAGACATCTGGGTGCTGACACAGCCTGCTTTTGAAAGTCCCCTGGTTTTCCAAAATAGTTTGCTATGTCGAAGAGGATAGTTTTGATTAAGAAAGGAAAAGATCCCCTTCGATATGCAGAACTAGTTGCATGGTTCTTTCACTCCCGACATACAACAAAGTTTACAATACAAACATGCACAACAAGAACTTCTAGAGTATTATGTTTAGAACTCCAAGACTGGGTGACAACACACATGGGTTCTGCCTGCACAGAGTCTTGATTGAGAACTTTGTGTAGCTGAGAATATTTTTGTAGGAACCCTCCAAACAGCCCAACATGCATGTGCCACAAAGGTTCCTACCACTCATGGGGAAACTTTCTTCATTAGTTTGCTGTTTCCTATGATAAACTAGAACTCACTGAGACACATTTTGTTTTTTCTTCTTTCATTCTCTTGTTATCGTCTCAATTAAAAAAAAACTTGTGTATATTTCCCTTTATTTTTGTTTGAGATCTCTACATTGCCTGGGGCATGCAGCCTTCTGGACCCCTTATTCAAAGTGTGTCCTTTGTGACTATAAATCTGTTGGAGACTCCCTGTGCCTAGGAGAGGGTCACAAGGTGTTTTGGTTTTTTTAACACCTTTATAAAGCAGGTGAAGCAAAATTGAAGCGTCAGACTCTGTGGTTACAACTCAAAGATTGGGTGGCAACAGTTTATCTCACTAAGAAAAATGAAAAACTGAGGGAGAAATGGAATTAGGGGCTTGAGCCCTTAATAGTTTATAGCAGTCTTATCCAGTCTGGTACCTTTCAGATATGCTGGCTTGTAGCTCCCATTTTATATGTTGAGGATCCAAAGTGTTGAGCATAGAGCTAAAGAACCAAAGGTCCCATTGGCCTTGTTGGCTGGGATTGAAGGGAAACACTTCTGGAAGAAAACTACTAGTGAAGGAAGTCAGGCTTATGATGTGTTGAAGGGAGGGCACAGCTTGCTAGCTTGAACCCTTCTGTTATATTTTTGATGCACTGCTACATTAGGTTGCAGCTTATAAATGTATTTACAATATTTACATTCCTTTTTATCACTATGGTAAAAAAGAAGGGCTTAAATAACTGTTCTATTTATATATAGTCTTCCCCTGTTTTGACATGATGAAAAAGGCTTGCTCAAAACATACATTTAGAACCATTTAAACATAAATGATGCTTTCAACTTTCTTGTACCATGGTAGGAGTGTACCTATAATCAGTAAAAGTAAGAAAGAAAATAGAACACCATGTTATATAATGGTAGTATTTATCCTGCTCTTCCTGCAAAGAGCTCAAGAGAGCATAAGCCCCCTTCTTCATGTTGCCTTCAAAACAGTGCTGAGAGAGATTGTCAGACATTAAGCTGAGGAGGGATTTGAACTTAGGTCATCATGGTGCTAGTTCAATGCTCTAACCATGCTGGCTGGGAATGATGGGAACTGTAGTCTAACTTGGGGAACATGAGATTTAGGTAGGCTCTGTCCAGCATAGCACATTGACATTCCTATAATATTGCTTTCAGAAAAATTAATTTTTCTAATGATTTAGGCTGAATCTGTAAAACTTAGGCACCCGCTGAGGTGTAACCTGGGAATTTAGAAGAGCTGAGTCTGTCTAGACATACTTCCTGTCTTAGAAAACTGTTGCCCCAGTCAAGCCATACCTTTCTGTAGTTACTTTACAGCGAGACAAAGGAACTCAGTGTGTGTCCAAATGTACTGCTATTATATATATTCAATTGTGCAGAGTGCAGCCTTGGTACTACAAGTAAGTTCTGTTGTTGGTCCTGATGATGAGCCTGGTTAAAACTTTAACGTCCATTCTTATTAGGGCATTAACATAAGTGTGCATTTTATCTGTGAAAATGAATATATAGTTATTTAAGCTTGCCAACTTGACAGAATACTTGACAGAATACAAATGTATGTTGATCTTTAATGGATCAAATATTGCTCAGACTATGCTTGACATTCAGTCTAGGTACTTGGCCTTTAGGTCAAGGTGTCCTCTTATTTAGCCTTTGCCTTCAAGGGCCAAATCCATGGCTTTGATTGACTCTGGTTTTCCTGATGTGAAAGTTTTGCTATTCCTCTAGAAAGCCAACTTAAATTGCCCTTATAGTAGTTGAACTTGAAGGTGTGTACAGTTGGAGGGAGACATGAAAATCTGTATATATTATAGAGGGAAGGGAACCTGGAAATTCACTCTTCAGCCCCTACATAGCCATTTATGCCTCCAACTAGTGCCTCTTGTATTGTTGGTTCTTTTGCAAAAATCGTAGCATGTGACTACTTAAATGAAATGCCTGCAGATTTATATGGCTTAGACTATGAATGAACCAGTGAACTGCTATTCCTAATTAGAGGAATGCTGCTATATGCTGACGTAGTTGCCTGGGGCAGTTAGTGGTCATGAACTCAACTTCTGTATCCTGAAACAGTTCTCTTCATTCTGAGAGCCGTTGCATCTTGTGTTTCTGGCTCTGGCAGTTGGCAATACAAATCTGTCTTTACTGTGTCAGAACCATTGCCTTTTGAAATCCCATAGCTATTGTGCCATTGACCATAATTGAATGCAGCATGGCACGCAGCTGCTACCTTGCTAAATCTCAGTTATGTGCTTGTGCTATCCAGGGAACAAGAGACCCACTGTTTCTGACTGGCGTGACGTTCCCATCAGATTACCCTATCTGTGAGGAGACCAAAATAAAACTAACCGTCTATGATGTCAAGGATAAATCTCAAGACACGGTAGGTACTCTGCCACTTCTTTCGCTAAATTAACACACGATGGTATGATTGATCTTTTGATCCTTGCCCTCCGTCTGATTTGTTGGTCTTCCAAGTGTTGTTGCTTTCGTTGGACTTACTACATTGTAGACTGAATTATCAGAGGAAAGATAGAGCTAAGATGGTGTGTTGTTTTTCTGTTAAGGATGAATGGCAGCATATGGAATAGATTAAGATAAGGGAATAAAGAAAGTAATTTCTCAAGAAATCTGTTACTGATGCTAGAATTCTATTCCTGTAAGAATGGGACAGTACTGAACCCTGATACCTAAATTTATGAGAGGAGGTGGGAGGATAGGGAAAGGGATCATAAAATGATGGTATAATTATTCCCATATTGAGGTTCATGTTCTTACAGCCCATCTGCCAACAGTTTTAAGTTTTGTATATATTACATGTAAAGAAGTATTTAAATAAGAATTGCTTAGCAACATATATTCAACAGCCAAACTATAACTTTAACCTTTCTATCCCAAGTATTTACAGCGGAAATATAATACTTAAATTGTAAAATATTTCAGCACAGTTTTATTTCCCAGTATAATAAATATCTAAACAGTTTTTTAAAAACACACAGGAACAATTGAGCAGGAAAATAATAAAAAAGTCTGGAACTTTTGGGGTGCGTTGCATGTGTGTGGGTAAGCCTGTGTATATATGTGATCATATAAAGCTATGATCATATAAGAATCAAATATTTTACTAAACAAAATGCATTCAGTTTTGTATTTTTGTGTGTAGTGGATTTTACAAAAAGTTTGTGCACTAGATTATGTGAATGGTTGTTTTGAGTTGGTTCCTTGAGAATTGTGCTCAGAAGTGTGGCAAATTGAAATTTGGAGAGCATACTGATCTTGCAGTAAGTACTTTGCATCTCTAGAACCAATGTTTTGATGTACAGATGGACAGCTAGTTTTATACAAATAAAAATATCTAAGGAATTGTTGGGGATATGTGTGTGTGTGTGTGTGTGCATTTTCAATGAAAAACAAATGGATTGTTTAGAAGCACATTAATGTTAATGCACTTTCTTCGGAACAACTCCAGCCAACAACAGCCAGAAATTCTAGAAGTTGTAATCCAAAATATTTGGAGAGCACCAGGTAGAGGAGGCTGGACTACAGCAATGTCCTGCAATTGTGGTTCTATCCTTTCAATACCATATGACTGCCATTATTTAATCTTTCCTAATGGTTGTTTGTTCTAGCTGCTCTCCTTCCGTAAGAAAAGGCCACTGACTGAGACTGGCGAGAAGCAACCTACCTTAAAATAAGCTGAGAGGCGGACATATGGTCCCCAAATCTTTGTCTAGGTTTAATTGTAAAGGCTGGCTATGTTTTGAATTCAGAATATGTTCTCTGATCTGTTCTCTTGGTGAAATGGGTAAGGGTTGATTCTATTCAATCCTGGCAGTCAAATAGTGTAAAAGTAGTTTAATATTTAACAATTAGAGTAGCAGGCTACCATTCTCAAACTACTTTCTTTGGAATAGTTCCACTATTGTCAGGAATTCCCTTTAAATAATGGTTTGCAGCCTCCAGCCTCAATTTTAAAACTAGAAAGAGAAGCCATGCATTCAGGGCCATGGAAGCTGTGGCTTTCTGAATAATCTGCATTGACATTTCTTTCCACCTCACCAGTATTTTCTCCTTGTATTGCTATAAGCCAGCTTCGTTATGTTTCAGTGACCTAAATATTTCTCCAAAAGTCTGTAATTGAATTTTGTCTTAATATTTTGGTTGCAACTCTTCATTAGATCATTCTAATAGAAAACTTAGATTTAAAAACAGGAATGAGCAGAAAGATTTCTTGGTACTTGTAGTAGATCTATAAGACTGTTCAATTCCCAATTGTTTAACCATAAGTATATTGGGGCCTTGTCACTATCCTTCTTTTCTTTTGCTTCCTAAAGTCTGTTTCACCTTCTGCTGAAGTAAGAACATCTGTCTCTAAAGCTCTTCCTGTACTGCAGTAACCTGCTACTTTTGGCTCTCCCTTCTTCATGCTTTTTTTTCCTCCGCACTGATGGCCATTGCTAGCTGTCACATATAGATACAGTTTACTAAGCAGTGAGTAAAATTGTTGTACATATATGTATGATATGGCAAAGCAATAAAGTGAATGAAGAATTAGACACATTTCAAGGAAGAGCAATAAAACAGAGGAAAAACTGCACAAATTTCCTAGGTTTTTGGAGCATGGGCAGAGGGCAATGAGGAGGGAGGATGGTAGCTAGGGAGACTGTGACGACCAGCTGTGGTTTTCACCGTTCCTGCTGGGCAGCACTCTAGCCATTCCTGACCACCCAATAGGAAGTTGTCCTGCTGAGCTGAGAAGCCACCAGGGTATGTACGAACAACATGAAACAGCATTTCATGAAAAATAAGCCACCCCATGGTAACTGCTTCTTGAAAACCAGGCCATGGTTTAAATACAAAGATTCCCTCCAGACTTGCCCTCACAACATTCAATTTTTACAAGTCACTTCAAAATAACCAGATGTTTGTTCTTGGGCTCGGCTAACACTTTGGTATTTGAACTGCTTAGGACAATTAGCCCATTTATTGTGCCTGCTGTGTTTATCACAGAGCTACCCACAGAAGTACCTGCCATAGGACAGATTCAACCTTCTTTGCTTTGGGAGCTGAAAGATAAAAATTACCTTGTAATAATTAGGATGGCATGTGTGCTTGTTGTGTTTGCCTCAGGGAACCAGGGAATTGATTGTCCAAGATCATGAGACCTTTCCTTGGACTCTGAATGATAGAGCTATATGCTAGGGCGGACCTCTTCAACCTGGTGCTCACAACACCTGTAATTCCCAGCCAGCATGTCTGTTGGGAATTGTGAGAAATGCAGTCCAACAAACCTGAAGGACCCCTGCTTGGAGAAGTCTGTACTTGGGGATCCACAGTGAGTCCTTTGAGCTGTTAGCTTCTCTCAACTGTTAGAGCTTCCAGTCACCCAAGCGTTGTGCTGGTGGCAGCACAGCAAAATCAGTTGCTCAGCAAAGAGTGCACCTTGTTGTCAAGGCTGATTAAAACACAGTTGCGCAACACAAATAACGAAGGACATAAATAGCCCCCCAATGGGAGAAAGGGCTGCCTTTTTAATGCACTCTGAAGTTGAAGGCTCCCATTGTACTTTACAATGTGTACAAATTCTGCCATATGCATTTTCTTATATTTCTCAATAAAATGCCATCTATCCATGTCATCAGTAGTAGAACACTTGAAGTTAATGGTGTTTGGGGGCTGCTAACTATGCGCCAACCAAAGGGTAGAACTTTTGAAGCAGTTTTTCATTATAACTTCATAAGGCCTAAGTCTGCCCTTCTGGGGTTTTTCAGGCTTCTTAGCTCAAGGAACCTCTAAAATGATTGTCATTTTCAAGCAATTTTTCTTCCTAAAGATACGAGATTGGGGAAGGGGAAGAAAATTACTTGCAAACTTTAAAAACGTCAGTTACACAAAAACTGCTGTAACTATCCTTCTAAAATCACATTACTCACCTAAATTTACCTCTGTGATAAATGCTGTTTTCATAAGAGGTTGCTCACAGAAAACTCCTGGGGACAAGCAAATCAACCCCCAGAGCAGAGTATGTAGAAGCTGTAGCAGCAGGCAGCTTCTGTGTGGCAGCAGTGGGCAGCATGCTAGGTGTATCCACAACACTTCCCCAGGCCAGTTCCTTGGCCCAGGGCCAGGCAATGGGGCTAAGCTTGCCACAGGAACAGTCAATGCTTCAAAAGAGGGGGGCATAGCTTGGCAGTCGATTTATTTAAAGGATTATTTAACTCAGTAGCAGATCACATGCTTAAAATGCAGAAGGTACTAGCTTCAGTCTTTGGCATCTCCAATTCTAACATTCTGGTCCAAAATGATGGGAAGGGTGGTCTACCTGAAATGCTGGAGAGCTGCCTCTCAAAAGGGACAGCACTGAGTGTGATGGACAACTGGTCTGTTCTGGTATAAGGCAACATCTTATGTTCCAGATTTGGTAATAAAGTACAATTGTTGCAATACAGGAAGAGATGGGGAGCATCAGAATGTGAGAGGGAGGAGGAGGAAAGGAGAGCATGGAGGATGGAGTGTATTCATACAATACTGATAACCCACACTCAAGTGTGGACTGACATTGAACCACAGTTTGTTGTCCGAACCTAGCCAAGATAAAAACCATAGTGAATGACCCATAGTTCAAAACTCAACAACAAACTATGAGTTCTTGTCATGGATGCTCATAGTTACCATGCCATGACTGAATAGCACCGGAAGGTTCACACAACACAAGAACCCACATTTGATCAACCCATGACTCAGTCCCAACAACTGACACTCAATCCTTTTGTTATCATGTTGTCTGAAACCAGAGTAAACCTGCAGATCAGCCTTGATATCCAAAAGTGTGACTTAAAAGTGTTTTCCCACATATGCAGGAATATAACTTCTCACTTGGCAGTCACATGATTAGCTTTACATAAATTGATCATAAAAGTAGAAGGAGGGATGGTTTGATTCTTCCAGTCTGTCAGTGATTTTTCTGCCTGGGGCACTGTCTCCAGTTTTCCACCTGTAAAGTGATGAAAGTAATACCATGTATGTTTCTTTATCCACTGAAGTTTGTGCTATTTAAATAGCACTGAATCCACAAAATAGAGCACAAGGGTAGGATTCCACAGACTGGCACTTCTTGTACAGAGATTAGAGGTGTTAAAAATAACCACCGTTTGCATGTAGTTAACAAGTGGAATTCACTAGAGACTTGTAAACTCTGAACTGCCATTCTGTTGCTGCTTTCCCAGAGCAATCAATGAAGAAGTGGCAGAAAGGTGTCTAAGATGAAGCACACCCTCTGACACTTTGGTCTCTCAGTGGCTTTGGTTCTCCCAGAAGAGGGTGGAAAATGGAACAAAACAGCAAGTAGTTTGCAGAGAATTGTATAAATCTTTTTTAAATCAC